GTATACACTGGGATGAATATCAGATTATGTATGCACTAGGATGAATATCAGATTATGTATACACTAGGATGAATATCAGATTATGTATACACTGGGATGAATATCAGATTATGTATACACTGGGATGAATATCAGATTATGTATACACTGGGATGAATATCAGATTATGTATATACTAGGATGAATATATTTCTAAGGTAAAACAAATCAAGAAAAAATTTATTTACCAGGAAGAATTAGGTAATCGTCTCCCTGGGTAGCATAACCTAAACATTTTATTTAATTATCATTTAATGGTTATGTTAAAAGATTTGTGATCAAGGAAATAAACGGATTAAAACCATAAAAAAATAATTCTATTTTTCGATTTGACTCTGGTGGAGTCGTTTTTATCGATCTGACAGAGGCAGATCATCTAATGATTCGATTATTTCATTTATTTTGTTAATTTTACAAATGATTAAAAAACAATATGTCAAAGATAATATCCTAAATGAAATTAGGCTCAATCGCACTGGATGTAATGGTGTTCTTTACTTAAAACAAAATAGCCATTAAATGATTCATGGTTATAAAGAAGTAAAACCGGTTTTCTAAACGAAGATTGCACCACAATAAAAATAAGGTTATGGTCAAAATAATCTTTTTAATCTTAAAGAATTAAAATTTACAGCTACTTTAAAGAATTAAAGTTGGGATAAAAAAGCGGAGAGTTTCTGTTCAATTCTCTATCAGGACATAATTTTCAATTTCTTTGACAATTTTGGATTCACAAATAAATCAGGAAAAGCTGTTCAAAAAGAGTAAAATATTCACCATTCCCTTCTGGTTCCTGTTTTAACGGTTCCTGATTTAAAGATTTCTGATTAAATGCTTTCAGCGACAATCTGAAAAATATACTATGTAACCTTGAATAGATGATGTAAATAAGATTATAACCCATTTTCAGAGCATAAAAAAAACATGTTTTTTGATACGATTTAATTAGATTTTATAGCGTCAGGTTTAGAAGAAAATAATAAACAAAAAATAGTGTTTTGAATTAAGTTTATTATACTTAGCATTGTCAGGAACCTCCAATAAAAACTCACCAGCCTAAAGTAAGACTTTTTTTTTTAAGTTTAATGAATGAGAGATTTTTTTCCCAAAAATATATCTTTGTAATCCATAGAACAAACTTTTTATATTTCAAAATACGAATTCTGTTGAAATATCAACAGGCCATCAGGTCGCAAAGATAAAACTGAGGCCTTTTCTGAAATTCTGTTATTAGTTTAGATAGTAAAAACTCTAATCCATTCTGCGCATTATTGCTAGAGGGTCGGTAGATTTTGGTTAAACATAGCTTATTTTCCGTTCGAAAATAGATCCAGTATTTAAACGTTATTTCGTAAAAACTTTCTTTTAAAGAGCACCATCGACGATTCTCTACGGTTCCCCTCAAACCTTAATCAAAGCACCGTTGAAACATGCTACACAAACAAGATATAAATCCGTATTTAATAGAAAGTGTGTCGCAAATCATAGAAAATATAATATCCAAACCAAACAATCTCTCACATTATTACTCAGATAAAAATTTAAAATCGTTTATCAAGGATATGACTCTTTACAGGAGGTACGTAAAATTACTTAGAAGAAAAATTACAAGTTTGACCATAGATAAAGACTAATCACATTACGGTTGAAGGGTTTTAAAGGAAATGGTTAGATGGTTAATTGGCATATACATAAATAATTGGCAAAATTGGACCATTGTTATCTTTTGTGGTATATAAAATTAACAGACAGATTTATTTTTTCACAATTCACAAGTATTTGGAATCCAGCAAAGTGATGAAAAATAAACTTTTTCTCTCAGGGTTGTTTGGAATATTTCGACCATTGTACATTGTACAACATAATTGACATATCTTGCTTCTGTCCAAGTTTCTTAATTTCCGACACGTAGAGCTCTGTAAATTAAGTATTAAAATGAATCAGTCAGGGTATCTCCTTATACATTATACAATTCACTGAATTGACCGTATTTTATCCAATATACTTCCTTATACATTATACAATTCACTGAATTAACCGTATTTTATCCAATATACTTCCTTATACATTATATACAATTCACTGAATTAACCGTATTATATCCAATATACTTCCTTATACATTATACAATTCACAGAATTAACCGTATTTTATCCAATATACTTCCTTATACATTATATACAATTCACTGAATTAACCGTATTATATCCAATTTTTAAAACCCTGGGGTAACCTTCAAAGGAATTGAGTTTTGCCACAAATCCTGATTTTCTAATCCCTGGATCCTAATGTTGTAGACCTTAGATATTTCAAACTATGAATTCTGTTCAAATAGACTAAGTTTGAAATATCTAAGGTTTACACCATTATAGGTTGCAAAAAGAAAGGAATTAGAAAATTTGAGTTTGTGACAAAGACTCAATTTCTTTGCCACCTTAAAAATAGCAATTGCTTAAAAATAATGTAATCTTCAGAATTGTTTTGTTTGGTAAATGAAAATAAAATAAATTTAAAGATTCGGCCTAGCTTGGCAATATCCAATATCCATCACTCACTCTGATATTAACGCTTTATCACTGGTGGAGATCAATCATTGCTTTTTTCTTTTATAAACTCTTAAAAGAACTGAACACTAGTCACAAGTTCTAATTTTCTAATCTCAATATATCTCCAGCTCGATGATTAAGTTTAAACCATAAGGTTATACAGATATGGGGATACAGTTTGGGGCGAATACTCACTTACTTTGAAAATAATTTGGCCTGCCTTCGTTTGCATGGCTTCCCAGTTTAAAGTGATGGTTTCTAAATTACCTCTGAATGAACAAGTAAAAATCTAGCATGGTAATTATGTGGAGCGGTGAGAATAACACAGAAAACTATAAGGATTGGCGGAAACATAATGACAACTAGGTCTTTAAATGTAAGGTCTAACCATCATGTAATTTGATATTCTCATAATTCTGTCCAAAATATTCAAAATTAAACTTAATATATATTGTTTCTCAGGCATAATTGATTAAACTAATGTATTTTTTTTGGTTTGGATTTCAGCTGCCGATTACTTGTAAAAGGATTGTAAAAGAGACCTTCTGATTTAATTCGATTCTCTTTAAACCTTTCAAGGACAAAGAACTAAGTGCGTATTTTAAATCTGGAGTAACACTAGCGTATACTCTGTGAACTCAACGCACTTGACGTCAATTGTATTCCCGGAAATCTGGAAGATCTCCAACGCGGATTAAAAACATTAAATGTGTAACTGTAAACTAGATTCTAAGACCTCTAGAAATTAAACATTATTATTTCTTAAATAAAACCTCGTATACCTTTGCGATGCTTTTTTTAAATGGAAGGTCCTTGAAAATACGCTTACCTTCTTCTTTAATGGGAATATAATTTCTGTTAGTTTAGAAATATACAGGGGGTAAATAAATGTAATCCAATAAAACGTGAACTGGAACTGGAAAACTAAAATGGAACATTTTTTTGAAATTTAGGCGATAGAAAGCCTAAAAGTATTGGTCATTTCATTGGAAAAATTAAACCAAGAAATTGAATCTTTGCCACAAACTCAAATTTTCTAACCCCTATATCTTTCCGACTTGACTGTGTAGACTTTTGATTTAAAATTCGGCGATGTTGATGGACCAAACCTCTGTAGAGTAAATCAAGTATAGATGCTAGTTCCACATTTTTAAAAAATATATTTCGGTCTGTTCTTGAGATGGTTTCTGTCGTGAAGATTAAAAACAAACAGAATTTATAGTTTTAACACAGTGCTGCGACAAAGATATAGAGAGAAGAAAATCAGAGTTTGTGGCAACGACTAAATTCCTTTCTCCCGGAACCCGCTGTCGGAACATAGTAAGGGGAAATTAGATTAAAGGATCAAGCACGTATTCCTCTCATTCATAAGTTGCCACAATGAATATTTCCCAGAAAAGATTACAATACATAATAACTCCATGGAATTTAATGATTTTCCAACGCATGAATCGTCACGTAGAAATGTTAAAAATGCTTATAGATCCTACCAATATAAAAAATGTTCAGATAAAACATATTTTTCACAAATCTTATTTAATTTTGAATACAGTGTTAAAACAATATACGGAATTCATTTGATAATGTAACAATTCAGATATTCTTCCTAAAGTTTCGATGGTTTTAATTTCTTTCATTGATGTACGATCAAAGAGTGGAAGTAAATCGAATAAAGTTTTGTTGTACTGTTTTCATACTCCACTGCAGGTGTACTGCACACATTTATGCTATGTAACCTTTTGGGTCTTATTTTTGTAAAAAGTTTTCTTGAAAATTATTTTATTTTCTCTAAATCAATTCTCTGACAACCTGTCAAGCTTTACCCAGTTTGTTTCAGCATAAGCTACCACGCCCCACCGGTATACACTTGAATATCCGAGCAGGGCCAACCTTTGCAGTCCTACGTTGGACTGTACCGCAAATTTACAATTACTGAAGTGGCACAGAAGTGTACGTCTATAGACCATTTACATGCATTGTACACATTGAACTCCTTTTCAGGCTCAAAGTGACTAAAAAATCATGCCGAGGGATGTGTACGATTTGTTAATATTTAGACGATTTTAATATTTGTTACAGAAATGATAACGATCATTTTTAAATCTAACGTTTGAATTCTGTTAATCAAAATTAAGGTTATATGTATTTTCATTGCAATTTCTAGACTCTGAAATTGATCAGATGTTCCGTTTTCAGTAAACAATCAGATAAATTGTCAACAAGTTCATTTCAAGCTAGTTGACCCAATGTTGACGAATTGTGAAGAATAATAAAGAATAGTAATTCTATCTGTTTAAAAATGCATAAGTACAGTGTTTATATTTGGGTTGGCTGCTAGGCTGGTTATCAACAGAAAGCAGTTCGTATATTACCTTCAGTACATTTAGTAGATAGTATACATAAACATTATATATTATACAGTATACATTATACAGGAAACAGACATACATACATTACCTTCAGTACATTTAGTAAATAATATACATAAACAATATATATTATACAGTATACAGGAAACAGACATACATACATTACCTTCAGTGCATTTAGTAAATAATATACATAAACATTATATATTATACATTATAAAGGAAACAGACATACATACATTACCTTCAGTACATTTAGTAAATAATATACATAAACAATATTTATTGTACAGTATACAGGAAACAGACATACATACATTACCTTCAGTGCATTTGGTAAATAATATACATAAACATTATATATTATACAGTAAATAGGAAACAGACAGACATACATTGCCTTCAGTACATTTAGTAAATAATATACATAAACAATATATATTATACAGCATACAAGACACAGATGTACATATATTTCCTTCAGTACATTTAGTAGATAATATACTGGTTATAATGGTCTCAACCTAATTTTAAATTTTAAAAGAATTTTTTCTTTATTTTATAAACTAAAATGTCAAAATACATTATCATTATTATAATTATTTTTTCTATACATTTTATTCAGTGATGTTTAAAACGCTTTCCCATTGAATTTCTATTCCTTGCACAACAAATCATTTAGAACCAACGAAATTGTGGAATTGGAAGACGACATTAGAGCAATAGTTTTTCTAGCAATTTATTAGATCACTTCTTGAGAAAAAATTGGTCTGTTTGTACTGCAAAATTGGTCTGTTTGTACTGCAAAATTGGTCTGTTTGTACTGCAAAATTGGTCTGTTTGTACTGCAAAATTGCTATCTCTCATTTTTAAAGCCATGTCTTCTTATTTCAGGGTTTTCTGGTTCTAACTGTACTAAACTCTGTACTTTCCTACATATATCAAGTTTAATATATCTATTTTACAGAAATAAGGGTCAGTGTGACAGTTTACACTACTACGCTACTGCAAACTCTGTACTTTCCTTTATATATCAAGTTTAATATGTCTTTTTTACAGAAATAAGGGTCAGTGTTCAAAGAATTGTCATGATAGACGTGAAACATTATGTTTAGTATAATTCTTTTTCAATAAAAATGTGAAGTTAAAAACTGAAATATATCAAGTTTAATATATCTATTTTACAGAAATAAGGGTTATGATATATGCAATACATTTCTTCATGTTTGTATGTGTAAAAATAATTTTTCATTCATTTTTAAATACAGACAAAAGAAATGAATTCTTTTTCTATGGAAAAATTATCAAAAAATCTAAATAACAATTAAATTAGTAAAGATTCCAAAATTAGAATAATTTTATAAAATTAAATTGAAATAAAAATCGTTCAGGAAAATGCCTCATATCGGGTGTGGGGCTGATGTTCTTAGGTAAAAAGCTGAGTAAAGAATGAAAAAAATTACGAAAAATAAACGAAAGTTACATAAATGTGAGTTTGATGAAGAAGCAATGAGGAAAAGCAAAAACTTAGAAATTTTTTTTATGGATTTAACTGTTATCAGTAGATTGCCATTGAACTGAACACTCTCCACAAATTCTAATATTCCCATCCCCATATCTTTTCATCCTGCTGTTGTAAGTTTGTGTCAGTATTCAGATCCTTTTTCTGGAAGGTTTGTTACCAAATTTTTCTCCTGCAAGATTAAAAACGATTTTACAATTTTTAAAAACAACCTTTTAATGTTGATTTAAAGCATAACAAGGATAAAAAGAAAAGAAGAGAAAGTAAAACAGTACTAGGAAACTAAAACTATAAATGATTTAGATGGAGAAGAGAGAAGGCTGAGGAAAGGAAAAGACTGGAAGATTTAGGAATTATACCAAGGACTGAAGAGTTCAAACCAGCAAAAAACTCTAAGGAATAAATCCAATGATTAATTGTAACTTATGTTTTGTTTTTGTTTGTAAAAACAGGATTACAGCAAGACAATATAAAAACAGGTTTACAGCAAGACAATATAAATACAGGTTTACAGAAAGACAATATAAAAACAGGTTTACAGCAAGACAAGACAATATAAAAACAGCTTTACAGCAAGACAATAGAAAGCAGGTTTACACCAAGACAATATAAAAACAGGTTTACAACAAGACAATAGAAAACAGGTTTACAGAAAGACAATATAGAAACAGGTTTAGAGCAAGACAAGATAAAAACAGGTTTACAGCAAGACAATATAAAAACAGGTTTACAGCAAGACAACATAAAAACAGGAAATGTTTTGATTTATCTTATGTGCGTGTATCTTCTGCTTTTAACATTATTTAAAATAATTTACTTCAGTTTAAAAATCATCATTGTTGACTTTAAAAGTCACCATAGTAAAATAAAGAGATCTAAAATGGATATTTCTAACATTTATTTTAAAAAAACGAAAGTTTTGAAATATTTGCATATAAGACGGAGTTAAAATTGGTTGATTTAGAAATTAACAAAGGAATTAATGATGAATATTCGATGGTACTTAATGGGAGTGTTGTAGAGCTTCATGTTGGTGGAGCAGATCAACAGGAACTGGGACAACAGGGAGTAAAACAAATTCGAAACTTTAACATCCAACCAACCAAGATATAACCCGCCTAGATTTCCATATTTCAAAATCTTGACTTTAAAAGTCACTATAGTAAAATAAAGAGATCTAAAATGGATATTTCTAACATTTATTTAAAAAAACGAAAGTTTTGAAATATTTGCATATAAGTTGGAGTTAAAATTGGTTGATTTAGAAATTAACAAAGGAATTAATGATGAATATTTGATGCCACTTCATGGGAGTGTTGTAGAGCTTCATGTTGGTGGAGCAGATCAACAGGAACTGGGACAACAGGGCTTATCAAAATCAGTTGGAAGAGATCGCGGCTTGTCATGCTGACTATGAGCGATTATGTTGTCTCTGGAATGCATGATGAACTGGGAACCCTCAGGTATAAGCACGCCTGCTGTTAGCTGGAAATCTGTTTCATCATCATGAAGGAGTCAAGAGGCTCCCTGTGTCGGAGCTGTTACTAGCTCAACTCTCCTAACCTGACTGAGGGCTGGGATGTGTAGAGGGGTGAGGAGCGAGGGGGACATGTGGGTGCTTCATAGCGGAAATGGATACACACATCTTGAGAATAGACCACGGCATCTGAGTCGATAAAATCGTCTTCCTTATATTTAGAATTTGTGTTAACAATCATGCATGCATGCATCAAATGCATATTAAGAACTAGCTTGAGAACCCAGCGTTGCCTAGGAGACTCATGTTACTCCAGCTGCGCCTTTGCGCTCTAGTTGTAAATTACGATTTTAGCTATTTTCCCTATAAGCACATTCCTGTGGGCCTTCTGACTTCCCCAATCAAAGCTTGAGGCAAATCGGTCAAGGGGTTCCTGTGTTATGATCGGACATCCAAACAAACAAACAAATAGTGGTTACAACTTTATATATGTAGATCACTGAACTTACTAACAAAAGAACTGGGACGGACCTTGAAAAATAATATTAAATATCATTGTTTATACGCAGTATCCGTTCCAAACTGCTGCCAGAGATCCTCAAGTGTTTAATTCTAAACCTAAATACAGACAGGTTAATCTATCTAAATAAAATTTGTCAAAACACAATGTTTCAGGTTGTAGGAAATCTTCATTTTATCAGAATTTTTGAAACTTTTATCAATTTCTGTTTTATTTAGTTGTCCCAAGAAATAATTGCCACGAATGAAAAAAATACTGAGAAAACAAGGTAAAATATCTTTAGCAATCTTTTTAACATATCTAAGATTTTTTTACCTCTGTAAATTGAAAAAAAAAAACTAAAACATTGATTTCTTTAAACAATCTTTGGATAGTAGTTAGTAGTTACTATTAGTACTTACCCAATTTTTTTCTCCAGAAAGACCTCCGCTCCGGCATACCCAGGTTCTGCAATGGGTTCAGTAATGGCATCATTTGCATTTGCTCCTGCATCAATAATCACTCTAGGAATCTCAAACAAACAAAACCAACCTGATCCAGCAGTATATTCTTGTGCTATATCCCCACACTCCTTCACAGGGCCATTTTATTCCTCGTCTGATATACATTCTTCTGAATCTGAATCTAGTTCAGTTGAAACTGTCAGAGAATCCGCCTCGTTTAAGAAAGATCCAGACACAGTTGAAAATGAATCCACGCTGATTTCTGATAAACTCAATATTGTGGAAACAATTCAACAATCGGCTGTTTCCTCAAATACCGGCACTGATGATGCATTAATACCACAAAACACATGTAAAAAGTTAACCAAATTGAACTCTGACAGTTTGATATCTACAATTTATGAAAGGCAAAAAGGTATTCAGCAATCATCATCGTGTTCGGCTTTAAAGATACCTTTGGCTAAACTTGACAACATCTTATCTCCAGTACTTCAAAAAAATACAAGAAAAGAACGAAAAAAGAAACTGTTACATCAATCTTCAGACGGTAAATAATAAATATATTTTATTGCATTGTAATCAAAACAAAATGCATTTCATGATTTTTTGTGGGGCGATCGTTTTGTTTATCAGAATTGATTAAAAGAAGCAAGCATTTATTTTATATTATAAATTTAATTAGTTTTATCTGGTTAATATAGTTTTTGCTTTAATTACATTTGTTCAAGTTGGTCGGAAAAGTTTCGAGTGTAAAGAATTATCAAGAAAAACCCGAACTGAAGAATCTCATAACACTTTTCTTCATGGTATGCTTTCTACTTCAATTTTTCATTTTACGGTATTTTTTGTTTTTAATGTGCATTTCCTATTTTTAAGGAAAAAAGTTCTATTATTTTATTTATAAATAAGTTCTGCTTTGTTGTAACATTAAACCTGAACAAATTAAATTACAAATTTAGAGTTTATGAGATTTAAATTAGGAATTAACTTTATTGTAGATTAATCTTTGTAGTTGTGTCAGAAAATATCTCTCTGTATTTTTAGATAATTTAGAAAAATCACAACAAGTGCAGAAAATATCTCTCTGTATTTTTAGATAATTTAGAAAAATCACAACAAGTGCAGAAAATATCTCTCTGTATTTTTAGATAATTTANGATAGATAGATAGATAGATAGATAGATAGATAGATAGATAGATAGATAGATAGATAGATAGATAGATAGATAGATAGATAGATAGATAGATAGATAGATAGATATATAGATAGATAGATAGACATATAGATAGATAGATAGATAGATAGATAGATAGATAGATAGATAGATAGATAGATAGATAATTTCTACATCTAAGAAAACATTTAATTATCTTACAGAAAGCAGTTGAAGAGATCTAATGCTATATATGAATCAAGTACAAATTCAATCAATCCTTTCAGGAAAAACAGGGTTTATAAAAAACAAACTTTAAAGAAATTAATTTCATAAATGTTACTTTGCTTGAGGCTTTAAAATAAAATATTATATTTTCTCTGTTTAAAGTTTAAAAGTTGGTAAGTCTGATGATCCATCAGATTTTAGAGCTAATCATGAGGTATTCATTCATTCTCTTCTTATTCCTATTCTATGCAATAAAATCTTGAAAATCTTTTTCTTTCAAAATGTATTTTACTACCGCAGAATGGAAGGTTGCTGAGATCTAGAAGTGTTGGTGAATCTCCGCTCCTTTCAAGGTATTTCTTTTTAAAGGGAGTGTTCGCGAAAAATGAAAGGGGGTATAGGCTTAATGCGATAAAAACGCGCTTTTGATCGCTACTAATCGCTACTAATCGCTACTAATTGTTAAAAACGACTCATACCGAAGAACGTAGTGTCCATACAAATTCAGAAAGATGCAACATTCAACTCGGATCGTAAACAAATCAATTTAATTCCAAACAAATCATTCAGATATTACAAACAGTAGTCATCGGTTATTTTTCGACGCATTCGTAAATAGTTGATATTTCATAATATTTTGTATTTTTCATGATCTGAGAGTTACTTTTGAAAACATTTATTCCTGTTTCGAGGATTTTTGATAATGAAGACGACATTTTCATATTTTCCAGGAATGTTCGAAAATCCAGCGCCAGCGAAAATTATTTTTAAAAATCTAAATCTTATTGTTTAATGTTTTGTGACATTTATCAAATATTGAATTATATTAGGTTATGTACTGAGTGTAGAATGACCGCTGGTTCTACAGTTCCAAATTTATCTAGCCGCACTGATCAGCAAACACTTTCAACACACCAACGGAATACATCGTTTAAAGGGAAATATGAAAGGTAAACACTAAACAGGAAACAAGTTTTTTTGACAATAAATGATATTATAAACACAATCTGCAGGTACTCATTTTAACATATTAAGGTGAAGAACCATATTTTTTTGGCGCTACTTGTATATTTAAAAAAACAATCTTCTTTTTCAAACCAAGCGTAAATACAGAAAGTTAAATTGTGAGTCATAAATCCATACAAATTGAATTGTAAATTGTGAGTCATAAATCCATATAATTGAATTGTAAATTTTGAGTCATAAATCCATACAAATTGAATTGTAAATTGTGAGTCATAAATCCATATAAATTGAATTGTAAATTTTGAGTCATAAATCCATACAAATTGAAATGTAAATTGTGAGTCATAAATCCATATAAATTGAATTGTAAATTGTGAGTCATAAATCCATACAAATTGAATTGTAAATTGTGAGTCAAAAATCCATACAAATTGAATTGTAAATTGTGAGTCATAAATCCATACAAAGTTGAATTGTAAATTGTGAGTCATAAATCCATACAAATTGAATTGTAAATTGTGAGTCAAATATTTTCAATCACAATCCTAACATTTCTTGCAGATCTTTCTAGGGTCTAGATATTAGATACAGTATTTGAATGGTTGTTTACTATGTATAAAGCGAAGGCACTGCATTGTAACGAATCTGGGAGGCTCACGGCAGCCAGTGGTTCCCTTCCTCGTGTCAAAGGAATAACATTAACTTTTCCAATATTTCAGCAAGGATTCATGTGAAGAAACAAATATAGACCAGCTAGCCAAGGATTTGGTTTCAAAAATTGATAAAGAATCATATTGTCAAGAAGTATCAGATTCCTTGAATGAAGAGTCTGAAGAAACTGTGAATATAATACAAGAATCTGTGAAAGTGTCCTGGTTCCAACTACAGCTGATCAGAACATCACGAGCTAAACGAACAGATTATCAACAACTTAGGAGATCTGTACACCAGGGATATACAATATACAGTACACCATTCATTTAAAGGGAGTGTTCGCGAAAAATGAAAGGGGGTATAGGTTTAATGCGATAAAAAAGCGCTTTTGATGGCGCTACTAATCTTACTTCTATTTGCTGCGTCTATAAGGAGAAAATTGTTAAAGACGTCTCATACCGAATAACTTAGCGCCCATACAAATTCAGAAAATTGCAACATATGACTTAGACCGTAAAAAAATCAATTTAATTTCAAACAAATCATTCAGATATTACAACCTATAGTCATCGATTATCTTTCGCCACATTTGTATATAGTTGATTTTTCATAATATGTTTTGATTTTATTTTTTAAAATAACATTTAGCTTCCAACTTGTTTTCGAACATTTCTGGAAAATATGAAAATGTCGTCTTCATTACCAAGAATCCTCGAAGCAGGAATAAATGTTTGTATAAGTAACTCTCAGATCATAACAATTAAAACATATTATGAAAAATCAACTATATACAAATGTGGCGAAAGATAATCGATGACCATAGGGTGTAATATCTGAATGATTTGTTTGAAATTAAATAGATTTTTTTACGGTCTAAGTCGTATGTTGCATCTTTCTGAATAAGTATGGGTGCTACGTTCTTCGGTATTAGTCGTTTTTAACAATTTTCTCCTTATAGACGCAACAGATAGAAGTAAGATTAGAAGCGATCAAAAGCGCTTTTTTATCGCATTAAGCCTATACCCCCTTTCATTTTTTGCGAACACTCCCTTTAATAAAGATCATTTACATTTTTACAAACTTTTACAATACCACAAAATATGTCCATGTCATAGATGGACATTTTATATATAACAAAATCATAGATGGACATTTTATATATAACATGTCATAGATGGACATTTTATATATAAAAAATCATAGATGGACATTTTATACATAACAAAATCATAGATGGACAAAACATTTCGTTTCAAGACTAGCAGAATACACATGAGTGTTGTGTATTGTGTATTGTGTATTGTGTATTGTCTATTATGTATTATGTATTGTATATTGTATACAGGATGATGGTGATCTCTGTTCTCTTTTATTTGAAGATCCTTCTCTCTACAGTGATTCTGATCTAAAAGATAGAATATATTTAGAACTCTTATAAAACTCTTATTTAACATAGTGTTATTTAGTTCCAATTTTACTAGCAATGCATACACAATCTAAAACTCTAGTGCTTTCAATATCTCTGTATAACGTAAATTAATTAAAATGTAAAATAAAACAATTTTAGGTAAAGTTTAGTAAAATCCCTGATGGGTATTTTTTCTTATTTTTTATATGAATATAAGGCGAAAACAAATTTCTGCTACTTTACCAGTGCAAGCCTGCAAACATAGATTATTTTTTTCTTGTTTTTTTACTCATTGTTCTAATTTTACTAATTGTGTACCTGTTATGTCAAATTAAAGTATATTTTACGTTATCTTATATGTTTTCAATCATAACTTATTAAAAAAAAACTATTGAGAAGAACAAAAAAAAATTTAAATGTATACACGCACATCCAGTGTACATTTGAACATCCGAGCTGGGCCAATCTTCGCAGTCAGCTGATTTGAACTGTCCCACCTGGGACATTTAACTTTACATACACTCACTCCATTAGCGCCTGATCCAATCAGGATTCAGTCATGTGTTTGTTGTCTATTCTGAACCTATGGAAATAGTATGGGGGTAACATATATCTTTCTATCTAGCTCATTATCCAATTAGAGTTATGAATCCTTCAATCGGCGCTATGAGTAAATGGAAATATTTACTTCTAGTAAAACTATGGTACACTAAAGCGGTATAGAAACGTATATACGTGGTATATGTTACAAAATATTGTTTTCCCTTCAAATTTGACCTTCTCTTCTGTCTATGTAGTGCACGTCAAAATAAAGTAAATTGCATGTAAGATTGACTTTATAAGCTTTAAATCATAAATCATAAAAATGTTGAGAAATACTTTTATGCAACCGGATAAATATGCATAAACTTGACCTTTTCTTCTATCTATATAGGGGAGTTTATGCAACCGGATAAATATGCATAAACTTGACCTTTTCTTCTATCTATATAGGGGAGTTTATGCAACCGGATAAATATGCATAAACTTGACCTTTTCTTCTATCTATATAGGGGAGTTTATGCAACCGGATAAATATGCATAAACTTGACCTTTTCTTCTATCTATATAGGGGAGTTTATGCAACCGGATAAATATGCATAAACTTGACCTTTTCTTCTATCTATATAGGGGAATTTGAGCCCTTGTGTCTATCTAACCAATTCAAAACGAGTAATGACCAACCAACTTTATTTATCCAACTCAAAATAGCCAACCAACTTTATTTATCTATCTAACCAATTCTAAATAACTAATCTATACTGTATCTATCTATCTAACCAAATCAATACAATAAACCAGCCGTATATATATCTATCTAGCCAATTCAAAATGACCCGCCAACTTTATCTATCTATCTATCCATCCAACTCAAAACATGGCATAACCACTTTATCTATCTATCTGACCAATTCTAAATTATCATAGACAAACCCTCTGTTTTTGTTCAAATAAATCAAAATAACCAAAGACTTTATCTGTTTGACCAATTTAAATTTTTCAGATAAATCTGCCCACATCTTAAACTATAAAACTGAATTGTAAAATATTTTAATTTTCAAAGTTTGCTTTATCCTATGAGTAAAACAGGTTATTGAAGTTTTAGTAAAGCTTTAAAAATAATTCAATACAAGCTACATTTTGTATGACCTAATAAAATAAAATTCCCTAGTTTTTGCAGGGTAACTAATAATTTACTTAATTTGACAAATGCGCCTTTCGAAGATATCACATATGATGCCAAATGAGTTTTCTGTTAGATTAAAGATTAGTTTTCTGTTGGAAATCCTGATTTTTCTGTTCATTTCGCTTTCCTGTTCATAGGAACCCCTGAATTTTATGTTCATTTCGCTTTCCTGTTCATAGGAACCCCTGAATTTTCTGTTCATTTCGCTTTCCTGTTCATAGGAACCCCTGAATTTTATGACAGGGGTTTACTCGGGGTTAAGATAATAACATGATCTTTTATAATCCACATGTAGGTAAAGAAATGCATGTTTGTAAACATAATACATATATTAATTTAAAAGTTTATATAAAAGCTGACATTACAATTGTATTTTATGAAGGCATGAGGTGGAATGTCTCAAATTCAACTTAATTCATCAAATGCCTTTTGCAAGTCTAAATTTGACAATGAAAAATTATCGATTGTCTATACCACTATAGTTTCAGTGGAAGTAAATGTTTCCATTTACTTCTAAAGCGCCGATATAAGGATTCATCTCTAATTGGATGATGATCTAGATAGAAAGATAAACGTTACCGCCATGCAATTTCTATTGGTTCAGAATAGACACCAAACACATGGCTGAACCCTGATTGGATCAGGCGCTAATGGACTTGGCATACTAGAGTGATACCTTGACCAAAATGTTGGATAAAACAATAATCTTATATACATATTATTTCAGCTTTTAAACTTCACATTTTATTAAAAAAGAATTATTTTACCGTGTTCAACAAAGTAAAAAGTTGCTCAAGTCTCTCTTAAATGTACAGAGTATTTGCCACGAACTCTGATTTTCTTTTCCCTCGCGCACCTCTGCCCCTTTAGTAAAAGTAAATTCAACATAAATGAAGCATAAAGTCTAACCTCGTCAATCTTGTTGCACCGGCTAGTCCTGCTTTATTAACCCAATGTTTGTGCGGTACAGTACAAACTAGGACCGGAAAAGTTGACCCAGCTAGGAAATTCAAATGTACTACGGCTGCCTGTGCCCTATATCTTTACAACTCAATGTTGTAAACCGTAGATATTCCATTTCACTTTTCACTAAATATTTCACTAAATAATCGAATATAGTTTATATAGTTTATATTTTATAATATTTTTTAATTAATTTATTTTGAATTTGATTATTTCTCTTGTTGCTTGCGCAACTATCTAAGAATGCCGCGCACCATTCACATTTTTCGAAATCCGTTAAAACGTTTTCTAAAAAAATAAAATATTATAAAATATAAACTATATACATATGTGGCGAAAGATAATCGAGGACTATAGGTTGTAATATCTGAATGATTTGTTTGAAATTAAATTGATTTTTTACGGTCTAAGTCGTATGTTGCAATTTTCAGTATTTAAATTTAAGTCCAGGATCAAAGTTTTTAAAAATTTGATTTTTTACTCAACTTTTAAATTATAATTTGAAACTAGCACATTTTTAAGTCTTGGAGTTTTGAAGCCTCGGGAGCACGCAATATCAATATTTTATCTTGAAGTATCGATGTGAATCGATTAAATGTACAAAAAACTTTGAATATAAAAATCATCTTGTCATAAATATTTAGGTCAACATTTATTTTTTCTGTTAAATATGTATTTGCAAACATTAAGCATACGTTTGCAAGTTTAAATGAATTACTTTTTATCATCAATAAAATCTTTCCTAGATTAAAAAGTGTAAATAAAGATGGGGGGAGGGGGGTGTCGAAGTAGATCCTTGCAATAAAAAATGTCCTTCGTTTGACCTAATACTAACATTGATCTTTTATATTTGCATTCAGGCAAAACTTCCTAATGCCACTTTTTGTGCAAAAATAGACAAAACACATGAGGACAGAAGTACTGTTGAAAAAGTCAAGTAAACATGTTTGTAAAAAGCACGAATATGAAAAGTATTGGAAAGGGAAAGCGTCGAAACATGGCTAAGTCAGTTAGTTTAGATTCATACGTTCAGATAGCTATAGCCTCGCACAATACATACATTTTCTAGAGTTTATTCTCTTTAACAGTTTCTAGAATATAACCTAGCTATTCAATTCTAGAGTATATTCTAGTTTATGAATACTGTATCCCATATTTTATATTTAAGGCATTTTATCCTTATTTTTACAGTGTATCCTGTATCCTGTGACAGGTTTTAAGAGTATATTAACAATGTTTTTGTAATTTTCTTCCTCGTGTACAACAATAAATTCTAAGTAAAATTTTTTCCTGTGCTTACGCTTTCCACTGTACGGTTTCTAGATCAGGTTCTTGAGTTATTATTTGCTCACTTTACACTTTACAGTTTCTAAATCAGGTTCTAGAGTTATTATTAGCTCACTTTACACTGTACAGTTTCTAGATCAGGTTCTTGAGTTATTATTAGCTCACTTTACACTTTACAGTTTCTAGATCAGGTTCTAGAGTTATTATTAGCTCACTTTACACTTTACAGTTTGTAGATCAGGTTCTATAGTTATTATTAGCTCACTTTACACTTTATAGTTTCTATATCAGGTTCTAGAGTTATTATTAGCTCACTTTACACTTTACAGTTTCTAGATCAGGTTCTAGAGTTATTATTAGCTCACTTTACACTTCACAGTTTCTAGATCAGGTTCTAGAGTTATTATTGGTTCACTTTACACTTTACAGTTTCTAGATTAGGTTCTAGAGTTATTATTAGCTTACTTTACACTGTACAGTTTCTAGATTAGGTTCTAGAGTTATTTTTAGCTTACTTTACACTATACAGTTTCTAGATCAGGATCTAGAGTTATGATGAGCTTAAAATCTAAAGCGATGTTTGACTAATCTTTTTTAATGTTTACTTTTAATGAAAAATTAAACTGAAGACACAATATTTGCTTGTGTATGTTCATTTGAACCTAGTAATTGGCAAGATTTGTAAAGATAGTTAGAAATGATAAAGCCATAAGCGTTCAGACAACTCTTTTGATACATATTTGTCATTAAATAAATATTTATCGTAAATCTGCAGATTAAGCCATTTCATATTCATCACGTTTAGTGCGACATATTCAAAAATGCTGAGAGGTCTTCAGATGTTAAACTTTTTTCATCTTCGGAATAATTTTTGCAGTTTAAGTATCACTCAGTCAATATTTACTGACATAGTTTGTAAACAAAATTTAAATACACTTCCACCCTCGCCGTGCAATGGATAATTTATTAACATTCTAAATTCCTGAAAGGATTAAACGCTACCCGGAGTTAACTAAAAACGTCAGAATAAATCTGTTGAGTGGAATGTCCTGAGCAGAGAAGGGGCAGGGTAAATTCATAGATAAATAAATAAACATAGATACCTTATGTACGCAAAATCACCAAGAATTGACAATCCGCGAACTCATAATTCTAGGGGTCAAAGTGTACTTCAATGAAACTCGGGGTGGTTTCTATATTTGTATGGACCAGGTGGAGAATGATAACAAAGTTTCAAAAATTCTGACATGTAGAAAATTGAAATATTGAGACTTTTCTGGAAAATTTTCAATAATATTTTGTCGGATTCTTATTTACAGAGAAAATAATTTCTCAGAATAGTCCTGTTCAGAATAGTCCTGTTCAGAATAGTCCTGTTCAGAATAGTCCTGTTCAGAATAGTCCTGTTCAGAATAGTCCTGTTCAGAATATAAGAACTTCCAATTTTAAGATTATATTTTCTGATCCTAGCAAAAGATTACTAAAAAACAATTTTTTGACGAGAAGATGCAATGTCAAGAGTTCATTATGATTCAAATTGCAAATTATTCCTCCTTGCTTCAGGAAGGATTTATCCCAACAGCATTTTCATGGAATTCCTCTCATGCTATCACTGCAGTCTGCAAGGAACTTGAAGCTAAATAAGAACTTTAATTATAAGAATTTATTTTGTCGGGAAAAAGATTGTTTTTTCCCTTTAGGAAAAGGTGAAAAATGTAAAATGTTTCTTGCCTTGAATAAAAAAGTTCCCACTGCATATAATCCTTGCCAGGCTGTTAAATCTAAGATTAAAGTTAAGAATTTAGTTATCTGAACCTTAATAATGAATCCTAATAGATACAAATAATCTTCTATATAATGATATAAATAATACTTTATGATATGAAAATATTTACTATCGGCATGTTTTAGTAACGCCGAAGAATATTTACTTGGGTTAGTTTTGTATAAAAGTCAGGTGGATTTAACGGTTCTGTCAATATTCCATAAAGCTATGACTTTCGATCACAATTTCTCCTATTAAACATAATTTTTCTGCCTTCTTTCTTAAATATTTTTTTGCCGGCATATACATTTTGAATAAAAAGTATGAAACAAACAAATCCGTTAGTTTAAAGGTTGTTAAAATATAAACCAAAACCCGTATGATTTCAAATAGGAGAAAAGAATGCCGCTAACTCTGGTTAGTCCGGGGGCAAGTGTAGGTATAGAGCTAAAGCTCTCCTAACCGAAAATTAATGGTCAATCTCACAAATATATATTACAAAAAAGGGGGGGGGGAGATTTAGAATAATGAGTTATCCTGATTTTTAGAATAATGGATAATCCTAATTTTTAGAATAATGGATAATCCTGATTTTTAGAATAATGGGTAATCCTGATTTTTAGAATAATGAGTTATCCTGAATTTTAGAATAATGGGTAATCCTGATTTTTAGAATATTGGATAATCCTAATTTTTAGAATATTGGATAATCCTGATTTTTAGAATAATGGATAATCCTGATTTTTAGAATAATGAGTAATCCTGATTTTTAAAATATTGGATAATCCTGATTTTTAGAATATTGGATAATCCTGATTTTTAGAATAATGGGTAATCCTGATTTTTAGAATAATGGGTAATCCTGATTTTTAGAATAATGGGTAATCCTGATTTTTAGAAGAATGGGTAATCCTGATTTGTTTTCAAGGATATTTTAATCAAATGCTTATTTTCCCCTTTAAGGTTATATTTCTTACTTTTAACTTCATTTTTGGGTCGGCTCTGTATAAAGAAATTGAGAATTTGCCACTATTCATGATTTTCTAATCCCTACATCTTTGTAACCTAATGTAGACCTGAGATATTTCAATCTTAAATTCTGTCTGATCAAATATATTTAGTTAAATAATATATCAATGGTCCTTAATATCAGGTTACAAAAATAAAGGGATTAAAAAATTTTAGGTTCTGACAAAGACTCAATTTTTTTGTTGAATTCTGTTTTTATGGGCTAATTATTTTCATAAACGGAAATAACTTTATTGTTTATGTTTAAACTTGGCCAGGCCAGGTGTGTGTTGCAAGAGTGAAGCGGTGCAATATATGAGCTAAGAAATATTTGCTAGTATTTTTGTCCTTCTCTCAGCCAGCTTTGTTATCAGCCGAGAGAAAATTAGAGAAAATAATCTTTTAAATTTAGTTTTTTTATGGATTTTAAATAACCTACTGATTATGGAATTCTGCAGATATTTAGGTTTTTTAAAACTGTTCCCGCATATTTCATTGCTATTTATTTATTTTTACCATTACTGAGATTTAGGTATAATAGAATAAAACCCGTTGAAAAGTTGTCAAGAAGACATTTTATAAATTCTTTTGATTTCTCTGAAGTTCTGGGTTAAACGAATGGATCATACATTTTAATAACAGATATCTACTGCGAGGATACATTTTAATGCCGGATGTCTACTGCGAGGATACATTTTAATACCAGATATCTACTGCGAGGATACATTTTAATGCCGGATGTCTACTGCGAGGATACATTTTAATACCAGATATCTACTGCGAGGATACATTTTAATGCCGGATGTCTACTACGAGGATACTTTTTAATTCCGGATATCTACTACGAGGATACATTTTAATGCCGGATGTCTACTACGAGGATACATTTTAATGCCGGATATCTACTACGAGGATACATTTTAATACCAGATATCTACTGCGAGGATACATTTTAATGCCGGATATCTACTGCGAGGATACATTTTAATGCCGGATATCTACTGGGAGGATACAATTTAATACCAGATATCTACTGCGAGGATACATTTTAATGCCGGATATCTACTGCAAGGATACATTTTAATGCCGGATATCCACGGCAAGGACACATTTAATGCCGGATATCTACTGCTAGGATACATTTTAATGCCGGATATCCACAGCGAGGACACATTTAATGCCGGATATCTACTGCGAGAATACATTTTTAAAGCGCTCCCTGCATTTAAATTCCAAATTTCCTAATCAACTAATTCATCTTATTCTATAGTTACAGATGGAGAATGTTTTGAAAAAGGATTTATCCATCGAAATGGAAATAGGGGAGGATAGAGTCAAGGTAAACATTTAATAAGATTAAATTTTGGGACTTTCAAGTCGCAGTAGATTAAATACAAATACATGAGTAGATAGTTGATATAATTGTGTTAGTAGGTGCTACATGACTGGATAGTGGATATAATTGTGTTATTAGGTGCTACATGACTGGATAGTGGATATAATTGTGTAATTAGGTGCTACATGACTGGATAGTGGATATAATTGTGTTACTAAGGTGCTACATGACTGGATAGTGGATATAATTGTGTTACTAAGGTGCTACATGACTGGATAGTGGATATAATTGTGTTATTAGGTGCTACATGACTGGATATCTGATCTCTGTGATCCAGAAACCAATTTTTCCTCCTCCCTTATGCAACATTTTCACATGGTAATATTTATCACACTTTTGTTAAATATTAGTATAATTAGAACAGTTTATTTAACAATGCAACCCACCAATTGTGTATATATAATAAACGTTGAACATGAGTGCTCTAATTTAGTAATTCATCTCTGCTTTTATCTTTTAATTATAATATTTTTGTTTTTAAAATATTTCTAAATAAAAACGTAGTTAACTGGGCACTGCAGCAGCCTTGAATATTTGAAGTGTGCATTATATATATATTTAAATTAAATTCAGATATTTTTCTGCTAATTTGCATAAAACTGACAGCATGGGATCTCAAATAGGAAAAACTTTAATCTAAATTTTAATTTTTAACATTTTTTTCAACTGGACACAGATGCAAATTAGACAACAAAAAAAGTTAATACTGCATTTATATACTTTCATAGTTCAAACTATATTCAAACATTAGTTATTATTTTTTGTAAATTCATAAAATATGAAAATATGATGTTGAGAGATCATAGGTGTCTATATGTAGGTTTGCCAACCTAGTACAGCTGGGGATGGCGAGACAGATAAAACTAAAGACCTGGAGAAGATGGGGTTCAACTCCGACCCTTCTCCTTTATTTACAGACTTTCAGGTAAAATAAATCTTTCATCTCATCAGAACGCTTTTTGGGTATACCCGTAGATTAAAGAAAAGGAAAAGAACGCAATACTTTGATTTGGTGAAAATTCTTTGTCACAAACTCTAATTTTCTAATTTGTTTGGAATCCAATATCGCAGACCTTAGATAATTCAAGCTATGAATTCTGTGAATCAAATTATCTAAGTTTGAAATATCAAAGGTTTGCATCATCAAGTTGCAAAGATATAGGGACTAGAATATGTAAGTTTGTTGCAACAACTTAATTCCTTTCTTTGAAGATTAGAATAAGACTCTGCCTTCAAAGTTTCGTAGGGAAGCTTTGTAATTTTAATTTTAATTTTAAACCTGATATTTTTCTTGAGTGTACATTTATAGATTTTTTGTAAAATGTAAACAAGTTTTAGTTTACACACACTTCATGAAAACTCCGGTTTATTTGAAGTCCAGGTTGTACACGGCGGCATGCAGTATATATTATTTACAGGACTGGCTGTACATATAACGGTTGTCCGAAAATACGATAAACGATGATAAAATGGGCCAAAATACGATGGAAAATATATATGATGGAATGAAAGAAACTGTTTTTGGACAACATAACTTCTGGATTCTGGAATCAATAAAAATAATTTATCACCCTCAACTAAGCTTTCACTGTAGTGATTTACATGTAGTGCTCTGATCGAAGAAATAGAAGGATTTAGTGTACAGTGTTATATATTTCTCTGATATATGTTTATTAATGTTTATAATATTTATTAATTATCAATTTACAATTTTAGATTCTTTTCAATTTGAAAATCTGATTAAATAATTATGAAATTCATAATTAAATGTCAACATTAAATAAAGTTTGATTATTATGCTTCAGTTGTAGGAATTTTTAATATTCTATTGAATTTGTGCATACTTTATATATTTGTTATTTAAAGTGAAGAAGAAAAAAACAGATTTAATATTCTTTAGTTTTCCGACGTTTAGCTTCAGATTAGAGTCTGTTGATATTTTTTATGAATTTAAGTTAAAACTTTATATTTGAATTGATGTAGGAGTCGGCTGGGGCCGTTGTTTACAAATCAGTCGAAGGATCAATGTTTGAAGGTACAAGATTGTATGCGTGAGCTATGTTCATCAGGATATACGTTCATAAATTAAATTTCATGCACTTTTGTCCTGAGAAAATGAGACTCATGGCTCAGATATTTCCCAAAGTTTGATAACATACAGGGTTACCCACAAAGGACGAGAGTGTAGAGACGACTGTACGGATTTTGTACTTCCTGTTTACTCATATTTATGTTTTCATATCCCTACTACTGTAAATCTTCTTGGCCAAATCATTAAAAAATCCATAGAAAGACTATATCTATGCAGACGATTAAATTAAATCAAAAGTAATATTCTGAGAATTCAGGTCGTCTTTACAGTCTCATCCTTTGTGGGTGACCCTGTATTTAAATTCTAAAACTTAATTTTAACTTCTTGATCAAATAGATTATTTAGCCTTCATGTCTCTAGTGTTTAGAATTCTTTTAATTTGCGTGGATAATTGTATTTACCAGATTATGATATTAAATTTCACATCTTTACAAATATGTTTTGGTTCATTAAAGAATTCTAGTTTTAATGAGAAGTAGAACATAAACTTACAGTATACATTTCAAAGGAACAGAGTTTTTATCTCTCATTTTCTATAATCCCTATATCTTTGCAACCTGATGCCGTAGATCTTGCAAAATGCAAGTTATGAATTCTGTTAGATTAAATAGTCTAAGTTTTAAATATGAAAGGTTTACTAACATCAGGTTGCAAAGATAAAGGCATGATAAAATATTCATCTTGATTGGCACACTGTATTACCTCCAGTAAAAATTAAACTTCTTTGACTGGATCTCTGATTTAAAAAGGCGGTTTAACTTCCTCGCAGGATGATTTATTTTTCTATAAGTTCACGATATACTTCATGAAATACGTTGCATAACATTATTATTGAGGGAAGGAAAAGTTCACCTTAGAGTTGAACATTTTCTTCGTTTACTAGGAATATTATGTTTACTTTTGACGGGCAAGCAGTTATCTGTATAATGTCTATTTTTTTAATTGATAAAATATTCGCTATTAGTGTAATTTGTTCATGAAATATTTAGGGCACTATACAAACGGAAGACCCAATGGTTACTTTAGAAAAATCAACTCTGATGGAGATATTGATTTATTTGCTTGTTTTGTCCAGGGTAGTCTGCATGGAAACTGTTGGAAAGGTATGCTAATGCCAATTTCAGGATTGTTATGCAAAAAAGTTCTTATTTAATTGAAATTATGTCAGTTAACTTATATTGTTTCTTCCCTAAACAGAAATTGATAAAAAAAAACAGTAGTTTTTAAAATCTATAAATAAAGTTGAAACAGAAATATCAGATTCAGAACAAATAACAAAAAGGTTTATACCATACTCCTTAAAGTTTACTATACAGGAACTGAGTTCTTGCCAAAAATTCTGTATTTCTAATCACTATCTAATCTTTACACCCCAATTTCGTAGACCTTTGATATTTCAAACTTTTAATTCTGATAGATTCAATAATCTAAGTTTGAAATATATAAAAAGATTTACACCATCGGGTTACAAAGATATGTAGGTACGAAAATTTTATTTGGAAGCAAATACTGAGTTTCTTTGAAAAAGTTTACTGACGTTTACTGTGATCTTATTACCCTACTTTGTACAGGATTAACAGGAGGTGGGTTTCTAGTGTCTAATTCTACTGAATTTAGTGGATCTACAACTATGTACCTTTACCCTGACTGCAGGTATTTAGTGGATCTACAACTATGTACCTTTACCCTGACTGCAGGTATTTAGTGGATCTACAACTATGTACCTTTACCCTGACTGCAGGTATTTAGTGGATCTACAACTATGTACCTCTACCCTGACTGCAGGTATTTAGTGGATCTACAACTATGTACCTTTACCTTGACTGTAGGTATTTAGTGGATCTACAACTATGTACCTTTACCCTGACTGCAGGTATTTAAAACAGTTTATAAAATATATAAGACTCTGTGTAATCTGTTCCGATAAGAACGAGGGGGTGAGTGCAATGCGGTGTCGTATCGTTTGCACTAACCGGACTAACGTACATTCGCACTAACGTTCATTCGGACTAACGTTTAGTGCGACTGAACAAATAATTGTTCGATCAAACTAAAAACCACGTGGAAGGTTTTTTGAGCTCGTGGAGAACTATTTTTTTAAATTCTAGCGGAATTCGGTTCATTTAATTAATTAGTTCCATTAAACATATTGTAGTGGGAATGAACAAAAAATGTTCGATTGAACTAAAGCTAAAAGTTACGGTTAAATCGATGTTAGTACTAATGAACATATATTTAGTGCAAATGAACGAGGGAGTGAGTGAAATGCGACCATAAACCCCTAACATTGTATTCTAAACATCAGATATTTTTATTCCGAATAAAATAGGGTTCAGAAGGCCAATCCTGAAAAAGCTGATGCTTTATATGCTGAGAAACGGAATTTTATAACATTTATTCACATTCTAATAAAATACAAGTTGATAATTGAACTAGAAAAAAAAGGATATTAAGAAATGTCAATAAACGAAATAACAATTTGTTATTTAATATGTCAATAGAATCAATCACTATTTGTATAGTAATCATAATTAAGATAATTATATCAACTTTAAACCTAATTGTTGAGTTTATACTAGATAATAAAGGAGTCTGGCTAGAACTGAAATCTCAAATACTTAAAGAAATACTATATGCAGATGAAAATAATTTCTACATAAGCATAATATGTCATGTACCATGTTTTACAAATACAAATAAATTGTTATCCCTAAATTAGGCAGGTATATTAGTCTATACACAGTAACTAGGATTGCAATACAGGGTGCTTCAAAAGTACTAAGAATTCTACTGCATATGCACAGTCCAAACAATTAATTTTGTGAAAATTCTGAACAAATCATAGCAACCTGCCTTTCAATGCTACATGAAAATTCTGATCGTCTAAAAACATGATTTTCCAAGATTTTCCAAAAACATTTCTAAATTCATGATTTATAAACAGGATTTAATGAAGTTCATGGTTAAAGAATCATTTCTGTTTTGCTTTTAAACTAAATAGCATTGAGCAATATCTTATTTCAAATGCTTTCACAATGCTCATATATGTACAAGAGGGAGATGGTTCATTTGAGGTACTGTACTGTCCCGTTTCAGCCGTCTATAGTCTAATCACGTACAGTACATATATGTACAAGAGGGAGATGGTTCATTTGAGGTACTGTACTGTCCCGTTTCAGCCGTCTATAGTCTAATCACGTACAGTACAACTTGCCCGCTCTGTTTCCATAATGTCAGTCTAATACTTCAAATGAATCGTACACCCCCGACTAACCAGAGTTAGAGGCATTCGGTTTCTTCAATTTGAAATCTTACTCGTTTTGGTTTATATTTTGACAATCTTTAAAGTTACGGATTTGTTTTTTTAAAATACTTTTTATTCAAAACATATAAGCCGGCAAAAAATTATTTAAGAAAGAAGGCTGACAAATTATGTTTAATAGGTTTAATTGTGATCGAAAGTCATAGCTTTCTGGAATATTGACAGAACATGCATTAAATTCACGTGCGTAGTTTATACAATGTAAAGGGTTGCCAAAAGAGAAACATGTAGTTACATATGAAAATTTTGACTCGATCATTTAAAATCGTATTTCTGTTTTAGAACTGTTTTATATGGAAACTTCTATAAGGGACAGATGGTACAGGGTCGGCTTTGTAACATAATAGGTGCAGCAGGACATTGCTCTTCTTCATGTGGAATGTTAAAACCAGTTCTAACCCCACCTAGCGGCCAGGTATAAAATACATGTCTAATAGCTATCTTGAATTCTACATATTATATTCATCATGAAGGTGAAATGTTATCTAAGTACAGTAATTTTGATCTAGGTGTATGAATATTATGATATAGGTCATATACATCCCACTCAAGGTTAAGTTGTGAACAGCTCTTGCATTCCAGGTGTACAGCTGTTGCATTCCAGGTGTACAGCTCTTGCATTCCAGGTGTACAGCTATAGCATTACAGGTGTACAGCTGTTGCATTCCAGGTGCTCAGCTCTTGCATTCCAGGTGTACAGCTGTTGCATTCCAGGTGTACAGCTCTTGCATTCTGGGTGTACAGCTATTGCATTCCAGGTGTACAGCTCTTGCATTCCAGGTGTACAGCTGTTGTATTTCAGGTGTACAGCTGTTTTATTTTAAGCACTGCACAACTATAATTCCAGTTTAAATATTCCTGATGTACAGCTTAAAATATTCCAGGTGTACAGCTATATATATGCTATATTTAAGATTTTCCAAGGAAGTTTACAGATCCCGTATTCCAGGTGTACAGCTATTTTATTCCAGGTGTACAGCATTTTCATACTCAATGTGTACAACTATGGTTTACCAGGTGTACACAGCTATAACGGTATTCTAGGTGTATATTTATGGTATTTTAGGTGTACATCTATGGTATTCTAGGTATACAGTTATGGTATTCTAGCTGTACAGCTATAATTTTCTAGGTGTAAAACTACGGTATTTAGGTGTACAGCCATGGTATTCTAGGTGTACAGCTATGTTATTTAAGATTACAGCAATGGTATTTGAGATGTACAGCTATGGTATTCTAAGTGTACAGCTATGGTATTCTAGGTGTAGACCTACAGTATTCTATGTGAACAGCTATGGTATTCTAGGTGTAAAACTATGGTATTCTAGGTGTACAGCTATGGTATTCTATGTGTACAGCTATGTTATTCTAGGTGTAAAACTATGGTATTCTAGGTGTACAGCTATGGTATTCTATGTGTACAGCTATGGTATTCTATGTGTACAGCTATAGTATTCTAGGTGTACAGCTATCGTATTCTAGGTGTAAAGCTATGGTATTCTAGGTGTACAGCTATGGTATTCCATGTGCACAGCTATGGTATTCTAGGTGTACAGCGCTATGGTATTCTAGGTGTACAGCTATGACCCCTCCACAAGTATTAGAATATGCAGTGAACCACTCCTTCCAGATCCATACGAGGTAGGTTTATAAAACTTAAGCCAATAAAAAATGATGCTATTGGTTCCTGTAAAGCAAAGGCATACTTTTTTGTTAAAAAAACGCACATCTTTTGACATCAAAAATACAATGCTAGTTATAGTACTTTTTGGGACAAAATTTGACCATTTGTGATGTTTAAAAAAATTCATGTACAATGCACAATATATACGGTACATACACTGTAAAGGCGGAGTTTGTTAAAGTTGGAGAAAGTACAGTACCTGGAGCTGGAGAAGGACTTTTTGCTAGAACAGATATCGAGGTAGTCAATCTTTATAATTTACGAGACATTTTTTTATCGAATAGAATTCAGAAATCAAAAAACTAACGACCTCAAGTTTACCCACAAAGAATAAGACTGTAAATACGACCTAAAACGCTTTAAACACGGACAATTCCAACATTGGATGAAGTCTTCTGCATTAAATATAGTATTTAATGGTCTTTATATTGATTGGGCAAAGAAAGAAACAAGTTTTATAGTTTCAGGGAATAATAAATATAAGGCAAGGAACTATATACAGGAACGCCCAACTCAGATATACGCATATTAAGTATTGTACACTGTGGGAGGAATGTAAAAATCCCATTGCCCCACACAGAAGTTGAAGGGAAAGGACTAAAGCTCTGATGTGATATTACAGTCCAACAAAAACAAGTTTATATCAAGTTAGAGCGAATACATACGATGCGGTACACAGATTTGACGCATGAGATATGGCGGTTCCTGGTCTATATATTTTTTGATATAAGGTAGCAGACGGTAAACATTTCTCACAATCTCTGAAGTCTCATTCTTTGTGGGTAACTTTGTACATGCAATATTTAATACTATTCCATAAGTTTGAGAATTATTATCCTAGGTTGGAACAGTAATTAGTTTCTATAATGGAATAAGAATTCCACCTCTGGAGGGAATTGATTCTCATGATTTACGGGATTACAGGTCATTATAAAACAGATTTTTGTTTTTGTTATTTACTTTTGGACACTTCTTGTTTAGCAATATTTGATTATGATGTGTGATGATATGGCCTAAGGTGGGGAGGAAGGCCAGCCACAACAATTTCTCGTCCAAGCCACATTCTTCTCATTTTCTCGTCCGAGCATCCTCGAATTTCGATTATTATGTGTTTTAAAGTTTCTAATTCTTTAAGATAAAACTATGTTTTTAATCTGGCCACGTTAGGGCATAAACATATTAAGAGACTTAAGTACTGCAATGATTACATTTTTAAAGCCATGAGAATGACGTAAATTCAGGTAAAACTTAAATCAGTAATTCAGGTAAAACTTAAATCTCTTCTGCCTCCGTAATGGCAAAATAAAATAATAAGGAAAATATTTTGCTCACCTCTCCCTAATATTTTCCTCATGAAACCAAACGGACAAATTCAATGTTTTTCACTAGAATTGACAAAAAAGATTAAATTTCTATAAATTATTATTTGCGGCATTCTACACAATGATTATCTGAAAATACGCGTAAAAAAGGTAAACATTTTTTAGGTCATTGTACTCGATAATTTGAACTCAATTTAAACTTTTTTTCGATTAACAAAAATTCAATCTTTCATTAATGCCCTAACATGGCCGGCCCAATTATCAAAAAATAGTATTATCTTGGAGGATTAGACATTTTTTTGTGGTGGCTCGGACGAAAAACAAAGAGAACTTGGCTAGGACTAGAAATTGATGTGGCTGGCCTTCCTCCCCTCGCCTAAGTTTACAGACATAATCATTGGATTAATTATAAAATTTAGAATAAGTCTTGATGATGATCTTGAACTTGACATACCCCTGGATATGATCTCAACATCTGAATACTGTGCAACATTATCCCATAAAGTAATCTCAACATTCTTAATATTTTGACAGAATTTTGTAACAAAATGTAATATTTTGTATCTAATACTTTTGTCGGATAGCTGCAAGATTCTCAATAATGAACAGATAGACAACGGGATAACCCTCAAATCAAAACCGATAATGCAGAGAAACTCTTTATTTCCTAAAAAATGAAATGGATAATAACATATAAATTATTACAATGATTTATGAATTTTTATAATGGAAAGATTCTTACGATCTATTTAAGGATCTGTAGGTTAAAACCGTCGGGGAGTCCTAAGACGTTTTTTTTATATATTAAAACTTCTGAAAAGAATGACAATTAATTATTAACGAAAGTCACTAATTCTTTATATGAAAATATTCTTTGCTTATCTTTTGAAATGGGTTTAGACTCCGTTACCGGAGAACAAAGAAAACGGGGCTAAAATTGTTTGGTTTGGTGACTCCGAGAGGGGATTTTAGGTTAAAGACGACATTACATGGATGGACGGAGAGATCTTATAGTTAATGGTTGACAAATACATATAATATAAACTATTTAATCACAAATCTGACTAATAATGATAATAATAATAATGATAATGATAATAATAATAATCATATAATTGCTTAATGATAATAATAACATTTAATATAAATTATAATAATACTTTAGAAAAGAGCAAACATTTGTAATAATAATAATAATATTAATAATAATAATAATAATAATAAAAATAACAATAAATGATGTCAACAAACTCTGTATTTCTAGGTATAGTCTGTCTGTATCTCCAAACTGGTATAAGGTGGCGTGGGCTAAACATCAAAAAGTAAAATAATCAAGTTTTAATACATGTTTTTATTACGGATATCTGCTTATCATTAGTAATAAAGGAAAAGGAAGGAATTGATTCTTTGCCACAAATTCTTATTTTCTAATCCCTGTATCCTTTCCAACCGAACGCCTTGATCCTATATATTTTAAACTATGAAATCTGTTAAATAAAATAACCTAAATTTGAAATATCAAAGGTTTAGATCATTGCAGGTTGCAAAGCTATAGGGATTGTGTCAAAGACTCCAACCAAAAGAGATTTAAAACTTATAAAAATATTTTTTCATCGATAAGAATTTTGAAGCCTTGAATACAAAAACTATTCCATCGGGATGTTTTATCTTTTTAAGGTCGTAAGACGTCTTCCTAACTGGAAATCTGCAGTTAACTTTGGACTGGTTTCAACTCATCCTCCTCATACGTCTTCAGGAAAAAGGAACGTTTTTTAATCTTCTAAAATTGTTGAAAATTAATTATATTTTAAACAAACCATTATCTGTTTTAATTCTTTTAAAACAACAAGGTACATTTATGAAAAATGTTAAAGAATCAAAAAATTATAATAAACGATTTTTTTGCAGAAGCAGAGAGGATGCCTTTTATGGATAAATAGAGATATAATGAAAGTTTTAAAAGTTTTTTTTTTAAAGGAATTGAGTATTTGTCACAAACTCTGATTTTCTAATCCCTGTCTTTGCAACCCAATTTCGTTGGCCTTAGATATTTTAAACTATCAATTCTGTTAGATAAAACAATCTTATGTTAAAATATTTAATGGTTAAACCATCAAGTTGCACAAATATAGGGGTTAGAATCTTTGAGTTTGTGACATCAAAGACTTAATTTCTTTCTTGAATACTTATGGTTACCAACATTTTACTTTTGTATCTTCGTAAATAAAATTTTACATCTTCAACATGAATAAAATTAAAAACGAAAATAAGTTGAAAAATAAAAAGTTTTGTTTTATATAAAAAAAAGTGTAAAGCCAAAAAAAATATAATCTGTTGGTTTCAATAAACAAATAAGTATAACATACACAAACCCGAAACTGAAGAAAGCATATTGGAAATAATCATCTTTTTAATTTATATCTGACAAAGGAATTGAGTCTTTGTCACAAACTCAAATTATCTAATCCCTATAATCTATTGAATTTGATGTTGTAGACTTTTGATATTTCAAACTAAGATAACTTGATGCAACAGAATTCATAGTTTGAAATACCTAAGGTCTACGACATTGGGTTGCAGAGATATAGGAATTAGAAAATCCGAGTTTGTGAAATCTGTTCGATCGATTAATCTAAGTTTAAAATATCAAAGCTTTACAACATCAGGTTAAAAAGATATAGGGATTAGAAATTTTGAGTTTGTGGCAAAAACTAATTTCTTTGCGAGTATTTGTTTAAATGGCATGTCCTCGCTGCATTTTTGTAATACATGCATATGAAAATGTATCTATATTTTGATATTTCTGTAAATACAAAAACATACATATACATATACATACAATAATGAATGTTTATATGTTTTCATTCATATTTCCAAATCATTAGGTGTAGGCAAATGCACACGACCCTTAAAATTTCTTAATAAATACTATTTACTGAGTGTACTGCAGTTACTGCAAAGTTAAGTCAGCGTGTCTAAGAAAGTAACCATAGTAGAAAAAAGTATATAATATACGAAGTAAACCTCCTCCTAATTAGCACGAAAAACACTAATGCGTGTTTAATTTACTTCTTAGTTCTTCAGAATAGCGTACGTGAAAAATGTGTTAGCTGTGACAGGGGCGGATACAGGATTTAGGTGAGGGGGGGGGGCAAGATTTTTTAGGAACAAAAAAAATGAATAATTAGCAACAAAAAATCGCGCTGCAGGCGAAAATTTTTTTACTTAAAAGACTCAAAAAGAGTCAAAATTAATGACTAAAGACTAAAAAAACTAGATTTTTAAATTTTAGGAACAAAATTAAAGGATTAGAACAGGAATTTAGGAACAATTAAAAGATTGTTCAGGAATTAGGAACAAAATTAAAGGATTAGGACAGGGATTTAGGAACAATGAAAAGATTTTTCAGGAATTAGGAACAAAAATAAAGGATTAGGACAGGGATTTAGGAACAATAAACAGATTGTTCAGGAATTAGCTAGGAACAAAAATAAAGGATTAGGACAGGGATTTAAGGTGGGTCGGACACAGGAACAGGAACAATAATAGGAACATTAGCAATTTAAGAACAAAAAGAAATTACTAGTTATACTTAAATGCATGAAAATTAGGAACAATATTACAATTTTGATAAATGAGTATTGATTAAGGAACATTACTAGATATGAACAATATTTTAACTTAAGTCTAGTTTCTTACAAATTTCTAATTCTAAATTTATCGTTAACAATAACATTTACTTGTTGTCGTTGATTTTTAAATTAAACTGAAGAAAAGAAAGTCAAGATGTGCAGTGTGCCGTTTATTAACACCAATAAAACAAAACACAATGTCGTCGTATACTTACAGAGTTGGTTATATTTATTTTTAACAAGCTAGAAAAATATTTTTTTCGTCCTTCTGATGATTCAATATTTTTCAATAAATATTAATTATTATATTTCCATTAAATAAAAAATAACCAAATGGCTTAAAATTGAAAAACACATGTGATTTATCAAATTGGGAACCTTTTTTGCCTCGAAATCTCAAGGGGGGGCTACGCCCCTCCCTGAATCTGTCAGGGGGGGCGAATGTCCCCCCGCCCCCCCTTGTATCCGCCCCTGGGGTGTGAGTCATGTTATGTAAGACGTATAACTCCCTCTAGCGATCCATTCTGCATTTTCTCATTCCGCCTTTCTAATTTTAACAACAGGGGCCTTCATACACTCAAATATATTACTGTAACATAAATTTTAAAATTTTTATTTAATTTTACCGTCAAAATTTAGAAAATATTTTTTTTTTGGTTTAATATGATATATTTATCCTTGAAATGGGCTGGACTGGTTCCGGAGGTAGAAGAACCGGTTTTTTGGCTCTGCAGAGGAAGCAGTGTGTGTCTGTCTCTTCAGTCTATACTCAACACTGCGGTTTCTAGTAAACCTACCTAGCTAGTAATATTTTAAAGGAGTTACATGTTTGACAATTCATTATCAATATGATACAGTGAGAGTTAATACTAGAAATGCCGGGCTTAACAGACGAATTAGAAAGGAAAACTTCCAATATTTCAAATGGAAGTAAGCAACCAGATAACCGGAAATCAAAGGTAGGTTGCTGGTTGTTATAATTGTAAACAATTGCCGGTACCGGTTTTATAAACAGAAACAAAACATAGTTTTTAACCACAATGTATGTTATATTCTACATATACATATCTGTATTATCTTTCAATGGACCTATTAGCTGCTACCTAAACGGTTGAAAACGAACGGGTTCAATTTTTTTTTTGTGGGGGCGTCTTACAATAAGTGTCATGAAAGATTTATTGCAAATTTTGTGTAAATATATACTAATACTAGTAAAATCAGGAAGAGATAAGATTCTTCTTTTCGATGTTAACTTCAGGAATACCGGAATACTCAAAAATATAATTTTAATAACTGACAAAATTTGTTTATCTATGAAATAAGCAATTCAATATATCTACATTACACAGTATTGAATATAGTGTCATAATTTATCTTTCTAATTGTAACATATGATGTGTAAACCGGAATAAATGTTTAGTTAGATTTTTAATAAGTAATGCAGATTTTTTATAGAAGAAACATGTTTTTTAATTCAGGGGCGGATAATCATTTAACAAGGTCAAATCGACTTATAAGATATAAAAAATGTCATTCCTGTTCACAGGAGGGGGGGGGCGGCAGGATGACGTAGCCCCCCCCCATTAAGATTTCAGAAAAGCTTCTTAATAGCACTTAAGGGAAACAAAACCTAGAACCAAACAGAAAAAATAACTGTTAAAAAAATTTTTCACCTGCGCTGCGTCTTCTGGTTCCGAAATCTGGATATTTTGGTTCCAAAATAAATCTAGCACCCCCCCTCACTTAAATCCTGTATCCGCCCCTGTTTTTGATAAAAAATAAATGTTTACCTTAAATGTGGGAGGGTCACTGGTCAACTGATTAGATTTAAAGTAGTAGTAAAGGATTATGAATTCGTATGATATGATGCTTTAGTACATTAACTCGAAGTTTAAGTAGTATGGGTCAAAATTACCTAGATGTAAGGGGTTCTTGTTTATAACTATTAGGAATTCAGAATCAGGTCAAAATTAAAATTGTAAAACTTCTTCGACAGTCCATCAAATAAGAAAATCGTAATACATTGTTTTTCAATCATTAAAGGTGGCAATATTGATTTGAATTATCTTTCCTTCGTTAATCTTTTTTAAAGTACTGTTTTACATGACGAGAATTGTATTCGGCAATTCATTGATGCGTAGGATTTACTGTTCAG